GCCGGGGCCGGGGTGGAGAACTCGTTCCACTGCCGCCGGGCCTCCGACCACATGTGGCGGATGATCGCCCGGACGACCGGCTGCTCCGCCGGCGACGCTTTGTATGTCGTTCCACTCGTCGGCGACGAGGGCGAGGGTGGCCGTGCGGTTGAGCGACCGCGCCTTCAGGTACGCGACGAGGTCCGGACCCGCCCCCGCCGACGTGGCGAGGTCGTCGAAGTCGGTCAGGACGTCGGCGACGAGCTGCGGACCCATAGCCATGATCACGACGAGGGGGCCGGCGGGGATGGACAGGCGGTGCGATCAAAGACGGGCTGCGGCAAGGAACAAGAAGCAGAGTGCACAGCGACGGGCTCACCAAGTGCACGGCCCCGGTCCCTTTTCTCAGGACGACGACGAATCGTCGGAATCTGAGCTAGATGCCACTGGGGAGGCTGCCTCCTCCGTCGGCGACCCGACACCGTCGGCCGACGGGGCCTTCGGAAAGCACCTGAGGCACTTGGCGGCTCCCGCCGGCAGCTCGGTGATCCTATAAAAACTCCGGACGCCGTATGGCCAGGAACAACCCCGCGCTTTCCACAGAAAGCGGTCCGACGAAGCCTCCGTCGGATCAGGGGCGTGAGCCCGTTTCTGCCGCTCATTGTAAATGAGGTGCTCCGGCGGCGCGACGGCGACCTGCTTCACCGTCTCGGGTCTGACGGGGCCGGGCTCGAACGCGACCGCCGGGGAGTGATCTTCGGGCGGCGGCGCCTCCACCTGAGCCGGCTCGCCATCCTCCAGTGCCAGCGGCGGCTGGTGGCCGAGAGCCGGTGGCGCCTTGGCCTGCGAGATGGCGTCGCCATACGCCGGAGCATGAACCACACCGCCAGGATGAGGGCGTCGACGGCGTGTGCCGTGACCCACGGGCTCCACGCTTCGGCCCCCGGCGGGTCCACCCTGGAGACCAGGGCCACTAGGCGGTCGACGGCGAAGATGGCCTTCAGCTTCGAGCCGGGCAGGCCGCGGACCACTGCCCGGGCGTAGCGTCGCATGGCCCGCCGGATGAGGGGGTCGACGGCCTCGCCGCGAAACTGTTCCTGGTATGACACGGCGGCGTCGAAATAGTTCTGGACGGAGCGATAGCCGCCTCGACGGTGGCGGCAACCTTCCGCACCGCCTCCGCCGAGATGGGCCAGGGAGCGACGGCCCAAGTCTCGCACGCTTCCTGCCACGTGCGGACTCTCGACTGGAAGGGTGCCTGGGACGACTTCGCCAGGATGTTCTCGTCGATTTCCGCCAGCGCCGCCTCCCTGTTCTCCGGGAGGGCCGCTTCAAAGGCGGTGCGTTTGCACGCTCGACGGGTGTCCCTCCTGAGCGGGATGTCCTTCCGCCCGGCCGGTCGGGGACCGTCGCCGGGGGCGGGATTGGTCCACGAACCGTCGCCGCGACCACTACTGGACCGCCGGTCGGTACTACGGCCGTCGCTGAGGGCCCTATCGCGGGCCCCGCCGGTACGATCTGGTTTGACGGGGCCGGTCCTGGGGACCGTCGCCCCTCTGGCTGGCCAGCCGAGGCGGTGGGAGGATCCCCCTCCCGACGGGACCTCCAACCGGCGAGTGCCTCTAGGACCGTGGCCGGGACGCCAGCTGTGACTAACGCCGAGGCCCGGGCTAGGGCGGAGTCGACGTCCACGGCGCCAACCGTCGGCAACAGGGGCAAATGGTCGGAAGCCCCCAGCTCGACGAATGCCCTCACCAGCCGGCCGAAGTCCGCCGTCTGTCCACGGCGGGGCCGCATGGGGCAAGCGGGGCCTCGAGCCTAGGCGTGCGCCGGCCTTGGCGCCTCGAGCCAACCGAACCTCCTCAAGAAAAAGGTAAAAGAAAAACAGGTGCACGACGAACGACGGGCAAGCGAGAAAGACTGCACTGCGACGGCCGCCCTCCTTTCTCGCGCCGGTGGCGCCTGATCGGCTCTGAGTCGGGCCCTGGGCGATTACAACGCCGGGCAGAAAAGGAATTAAATTAAGGCGACGGGAGAGGCCCGCGAAGGCTTCACCGACGCACCCCCTGAGGCTTGAATTCCCACGTCGCCAGCGACAAAGCCGTCGGTGAGGTCGACCTTGTAGAAGACGGCGACGGGGAGATAGCGACGGGGGCCGGCCGACCGGATCACCGGTGCCGGGACTGCTCGTGGCAGTCCTCGCACTCATGGTGGTCGTGGCGATCCAGGTCGACGGTGCCGCCGGCACGAATCAGCACCGGACGGAGGCATCTGCCGGGAATGCCGCGGCAGCGGCCGTTGGTGCACGGGTGCCCGCACCACCCGACGCACCAGATCTCGCCGGGGATCTTCTCTGGAATGCGGCCTCCCCGGACGCCGTGCGGCAGTGCCCGCAGCACATAGTACGCCGCTGCGGCGGCCGCCGGTACCATGGCTGTGGAGCCGCCGGCGGCGGCCCTCTCGATGTCTTCCAACTGCTCCAGGTTGGCGACGGTGAGGGGCCGGAGCGTCTCCGGCACTGTGACGTCGGACCTCACGCCGGACTTGCCCATCAGCTCGACGTGGTCGCGCCACTCCTGCGAGCAAAGCATCCGGCGGATATGGGCCAGACGCCGGTACTCGCGCCGGTGGCGCTCGAGCTCGGCGGGGGAGGCGTTCTGCCCCGGCCGCCGTGGAAGGATGGGGAAGCCGGCGCCGGTGATCGGGTCCGCGTCGGGGTACATCTCTTGCGGCGTTGGTGTAGGTGCCCTGCGGAATGACCCCGACGGTGCTGGCGGCGACGGCGACGGTGCCGATGCGGCCGGCATGGCCTTCACCGGCGGCCCGCCGGTGCGCTGGTGTCGCGACTCATCCTCGAACTGCCGCCGGAGCTCCTCGGCGATGCGGTCCTGGTAGTCGACGATCGGCACCGACGGGGCCGGCGGCGGCGGCCCAGGGATCACGGTCGCCGGCGTGATCCGATCCGGGAGTACCGTCTGGTACCGCCGGTAGTATGCCTCGGCCGTCGGGATATTGTGTTTGTAGGCCAGCTCTGCGTCGGTCCGACAGAGATACCCCACCTGGTCCCAGACCTCCGGCGGGCTGCCTTTCGGAACCGACGGCGCCGGGCGGGTGGGCTTCTGAGGGTAGCCCCCACCCGATGGCTTGCCGGCCGCCGGCATGTCGGCCGAGGACGACGGTGCTCCGGAGACCCCCGCGTGCGCCGAAGGAGGCGCGTGGTGCCTGTCGACGGGGGGTTCCGGGCACGGGTCGTCCGACGGCGCCGGCCCTGCTGCTGCTCCACTGGAAGACGCCGGTGTAGCCCTCGACGAATCGCCATACACGACGGGCCCTGGCGCGGCGGCTGGACTGTTGATCGCCGATACCAGGGCCCGCCGTTCCAGTCCAGACCACTCGCCGAAGAGCTGGCTGAGGTCGTCGCCGGAGGCGACGGCTCGACGGATCATGTCGAGCGCCGCGACGACATCGGCGGACTGGTATGCCATGGCGTCAGGAGGGATCTACCGGAAAGCTGAAAATCGTCGGGGGACGTGGAGCAGACAGCGGCTGCAGCATCCACGTCGATTCGACGGTTGTCCCTACGCACATAAATGTGCTACACTACAATGATCGAGAAGGTAGAAACGAAAAATGTAGGCAGCGTTTTGTAAAAGCTCTGCCGGTAGTTTATCCGGCCCAAGGGCTCTGCGTTCCATAGGGGCAGAATGGGGGGGGAAATCTTCTGGTACAGGAGCCTTCCAAAGCTGGTGTTGGCTCTGCGAAGGTCTCGGCCCGAGCGGCTTTCGAGACTAACAAAGGCCCTTTGGTATTTTTATAGGTAGGAGAAACCTTTTGGCATGGAGCTCGCTGTGCGCCATTGTTGAATGGCGGAGCTGTGAAAATCTTCTTGGAGGTGATCGAGAATGGAGTGTCTCTTATCACGCCTGGTGAGTTTCTAGTGTTTTTACGATACTGCTTAACATCCTGTTCGCTGAGATCAGCTCGTGTTTGAAAGGAGGTGATATACTCCATGGTGAAAGGAGTAATTCAAGGTTTTTTGCTGGAGACTGATAACTTAGGAATAAGCGAAGTGTGTTTTTGCAGGGGCATGCGAAAGAAAAGCGACCAAGGGAGCCATATTCAGTGACCCCGCGTTTAGCTAGAGAGTCGGCTTATTCGTTGCCGAGTACTCAGGGATGACCTGCCAGCTTTTTAAGCGTGACATAGTGCACTGTGCGAAGTGCGGTATAATGTTGTTGAGCAAGAATGACCAATTGTTGTTGCGTGTTAGGGAGCGAGTCCCCAACATAATGCGCAAAGCATATTCAGAGTCAGTGAAGATGGTAATATCTGAGAACGCGGGGAGGTTGGCATGGTAGAGCAAATAGTCAAACAGTTCAATAATAAGTGCTTTAAGCTCACCGGTATTATTGAAGCCCCATACCTCGGGCAAAACATGAGTAAACCGTAAGCCTGAAACCCTAGAACTCGAGAACCCTAAGACCTTCTACAGCTCTCCTGCCAAATCTTGGTCTTCGGCGCTGACGACATAGCATTGGTATTCCAAGTCCTTTGGAAAGAACGCCTCCACACGCTGTCGAACGCCCTCCCGACAAAACAACCACCGTACCGCCGCGCAAGACTTCCTGGTGCATGAGAACCCTGTCTGGACAGTACTCCCAAAGCCGCTTAGACGGCAACACAAAATTCCAAAACCCACCTTTCAGAGGAGTGTGCCACCCACACCTAACAGAGTCCTTTGTCGAAGGATTAGTTCCGTTCATGTTCCGCTTCCACAAACCAGCGCTCTAAATCCAATTTTCCAAAATTTTCCTGTCGATGCCAGGTCCAGCTGCCACAGAAAGGCGGAGGCCAGGGTCAATCCCCGTCCGCTCATGGCTTCTGGCGTCGTACCTTTGTACCCTGGACTTCTGGGTCGCAAACCCTCAAGCTGTCGCACCCATCTGCAGATCTACAACTGAACCAGGATAGGTTTGTCCTGTTGGACAAATGGCTTCAAACGGCTGCAGCAGAATGCCCGCCTGATTCAGAGCGAACATGCCAAACACCGGAACGAAGGTAACCTTGGATGACTTGCTAGTTAGTACTTAAGGCGTTGGTTGTTGCACATGCCGACCGGAAGGCACCTGCGCTGTGTAGATCCATATCCGATGCTGAAAGCAAACCCCCTTTGCTGATTTGCATGCATGCTCACTGCTGATCCGCTGTCCCTGTCGCTATGACACTCAGGCCTGTGCACAAAATCACCAAGCGCTAAGGTTCGCTGCTTCACCGAATCGAGTAAGTTAGATCAGAACGTGAAGACCGGAGATGATACGATTGATGAAAGGCAATTATGGTTGCATACCAGGCGCAGGTATTGCCCACTGGTAGCTCGTCATGAAGGATGTCACCTGGCTGGCGACCACGGCTGCTGAGCTTGTTATGTTGAACCAAAATGCAAGACAAAGGGTTTTTATGGACTCCTGGGTCCTTCGTCCGACATGAGCTTCTGCCAAGTGGCCACACAAGGGGTGAAGACAGAGTGCACTACGAGCAGGATCATGATCATCTGGGCCCATGGAAATGGGAAGTTCGTATCCTGCCAGCAGAGCAGTCTGACATCTCTGCACAACACGACGAGACCACGACGACTCTTAAGCAACGACATCAAGAGGCAGCCGCCTTGATCTTCACAGCATTCCTGGCTGCACATGTGACGAAGCACGACAACTCAAAGCGACCGGGCATAAACAAACCATTGATTGATATTCAACCAAGCAGCAAGAGATTCACGAAACCTCGTGACAGAGTCTGATACACACCTTGGTTGCAGTCTTGCAAAGCTCGGCACCACTCTCGGCCAAGCCATGCTGGTGCACCGTTGCTGAACCAACTTCAGCGCAAGAGATTCACTAAGATAAGGCGGAAAGATTCAGCTGCACTCGACAGTACTAACTCGATCCAAGCACGAGAGAGGATCGGCGGCGGAATGTCCAAAACACCTTCAAAACATCTGCAGCTGGCAAGGTCCGTTGCAAGCCCAGTATGAGCACAACTCCAAAGGCTTGTTCCGGCTGGTTCAGCTTCGCGCCTATGCGCAGATTGTGCGTAATGAGAACCTGCCCAGCAATGTCGCACCGACGGTCGTCTACAGTAATCTAGATTGCCAAGGCGACTCTCGGCAGCGGAGAACTACGTGAAAGGGAACACCAGCAGTGAGCGATAGCCAGTAAAAAAACCTCAGAGACTGCAACTTTGACTGCTTTTGTAAGTCCTGGCCATCACGAGCCAAGCCATGGAAACGGGAAGATCCAAATACGATTGCAGAAGCAGGCCAATGTCACTGCAACAAGCTCTAACTTTGCTCTTCCCTCCTTGTTTCTCAGAGCACACGCAATTTGCACGGACTGTGCGAGGACAGGACACGCATTGTAAATGTCTTCATGGCGCAAGACACAGACAGAAATGGCACAGCAGCCCGTGTTTCTCAATGTGGAGCTCAAGATGGAAGTGCTGTGCCCTGTGACACCGGCCTGGATCATGTGCTGCAGGGCACAAACCTGAAATCCGGCACAGTTCTTCCAAAACAGAGGAAGTGCAACTGCGTTCTGAATTCGGGAAGATGCGCCTTGTTCCAATCGTACTTCAGCTTGCAATCCCGCAGGAAGCGCCTGAGGCGGCAGACGCAAAGCATGACAGGGGACTTGCTTTGTCAGCCCTTCCAGAAGCTACCATCACCTTGGCTAAGGCACGCTTAGTGTGGGACTTCGTCAAGAACCAAGATGGATGCGCCGGAAGCGCTCAGGGCTCACGAAAGAACAATGCATCCAGGCTGCAGCGTTGCGGAGTCCAGGGACATGACGTCAATAGTCTTGCAGGGTTGCGAGGTGGCTTCTAGCGTCTTGGATAGTTACCCGGTGGTTGCATGTGGGCAACCCAGGCCAGTCCGCGGCTCAAAGGGCTTCATCCCTAAAAACCATATCAAGGGCACCTGGTAGCTGTCATCAGTGCTACCACTGATCTCGTCCTTGGTTCATGGGCTGTGTCCCTGTTCCTTCCTTTGCATGTGAGTCTCAGCCGCTTGCCAGCTGAGTGGCATAGTGTCACAGCGAATCAACCAATGCTTTGGGACACATGAAACGGGCATTCGTCGAAAGCTCCGGAAATCCACGCTCCGACCCCCAATGACGCTAAGTTCTGAGGCTGTCACCAGTGCCGAGCCATGCATCAACGATGTCAGTCTTACCAACGTCTGCCGGAACTGACTGACCTCCTCAAAAGCGCAGGAACATGCGAGATTTTCTGAGCATGTCCAAAAGCTTCTGTTCCTAACAACCCTGAAGCAGAGCATGAAAACTTAATACCCCTGAAGCAGAGCATGAAAACTTAATACTATGCAAACCATACAACCCAGCACCTGAAATCAGAAAAGCACAGCAACCCTCGGGCCCTAAACCCTAAAAGTGGCAAGCCCTGAAGATAAAGATCCCAAACCCGGAGCTTGGCATGGAACGAATGCCTAAAGATTCATGCTGAGACGAAGAAAGGGGGGTTTGAATGCAAGATGACTTCGGTCTAGTTCACCGGCCTGCCTCAACATGATTGAAAGAAGAAGGGGTTTCGAAGATGACAAAGAAAAGTTCGCAGTTGGCTGCGGCCAAGAGTTGCCGGACTTCGACACACACAGGTCGGTCATGCAACCAGAGCTATCACATGTCGCGGCTGAAACGCATCAGGGTTTGCGCAGAAATGCGTTTGCAGAATGGTGTGATGTTTCCCGAACCGATGGAGTGCCACCCTGCTGGAAAAAAATCATCATCACATCCCAACCAAGACTTCCTGGAACAGCTCGCTGCAGAATATGGGTTTCTCTCAGCCGCAGACTGTCGCTCTGCCAGCAGGGGTGATGTTCGTCACTAAAGCCAGCACCAATAGTTCATTCATCGACAACGGAACCACCGCCTTGTGCCTTTGGTTGCCTAGCTATGTGGTCACCCTGCCGATACAGTCGGAATGTTGCGGGCGACACCACGGACTGCGACCCCGCAATCCATGCATTGTTGGTAGTTAAGGGGAGGATGCAGCAGCAACCAGGACGCAGCCACAAATCTGCTGTCAATCAAGCTCGGACAGTGTCGTTGAAGGGGGTTCTCTCAATTCCTCGCCAGCATGCACGGGCAGGCTTCGGGACGAAGCACAGAGGGGTCTTCCTCGCCAACACCAGCCAGATCAAGCGGTCGAACCAAAACAGCAGGCTATGCCAGGAGCTCAGAACCTCAGAAGGTTCAATCCCTCACCAGCTGCAGTATGCTTCGGGACAAAGCATTGCGAACTTGTGTGTCATCCTTGCTGCCGAAGAATGCAACTAACACAAGAACTCAACTGGCTCAGACTCAGAAGGTGTTCTGTGAATCCCTCACCAGCATGCACAGGCAGGCTTCGGGACAAAGCATTGCGAAACAAATGTGTCTTCCTCGCCAACACCAGCCAAATCAATCGGTCGAACCAAAACAAGCTATGCCAATAGCTCAGAACCTCAGAAGGTTCAATCCCTCACCAGCTGCAGTATGCTTCGGGACAAAGCATTGCGAAGTTGTCTGTCATCCTTGCTGCCAAAGAATGCAACCAACACAAGAACTCAACTGGCTCAGACTCAGAAGGTGTTCTGTGAATCCCTCACCAGCATGCACAGGCAGGCTTCGGGACAAAGCATTGCGAAACAAATGTCTTCCTCGCCAACACCAGCCAAATCAAGCGGTCGAACCAAAACAGGCTATGCCAATAGCTCAGAACCTCAGAAGGTTCAATCCCTCACCAGCTGCAGCATGCTTCGGGACAAAGCATTGCGAAGTGTGTCATCCTTGCTGCCGAAGAATGCAACTAACACAAGAACTCAACTGGCTCAGACTCAGAAGGTGTTCTGTGAATCCCTCACCAGCATGCACAGGCAGGCTTCGGGACAAAGCATTGCGAAACAAATGTGTCTTCCTCGCCAGCACCAGCCAAATCAAGCGGTCGAACCAAAACAGGCTATGCCAATAGCTCAGAACCTCAGAAGGTTCAATCCCTCACCAGCTGCAGTATGCTTCGGGACAAAGCATTGCGAAGTTGTGTGTCATCCTTGCTGCCGAAGAATGCAACTAACACAAGAACTCAACTGGCTCAGACTCAGAAGGTGTTCTGTGAATCCCTCACCAGCATGCACAGGCAGGCTTCGGGACAAAGCATTGCGAAACAAATGTGTCTCCTCGCCAACACCAGCCAAATCAAGCGGTCGAACCAAAACAGGCTATGCCGATAGCTCAGAACCTCAGAAGGTTCAATCCCTCACCAGCTGCAGCATGCTTCGGGACAAAGCATTGCGAACTTGTGTGTCATCCTTGCTGCCGAAGAATGCAACCAACACAAGAACTCAACTGGCTCAGACTCAGAAGGTGTTCTGTGAATCCCTCACCAGCATGCACAGGCAGGCTTCGGGACAAAGCATTGCGAAACAAATGTGTCTTCCTCGCCAACACCAGCCAAATCAAGCGGTCGAACCAAAACAGGCTATGCCAATAGCTCAGAACCTCAGAAGGTTCAATCCCTCACCAGCTGCAGTATGCTTCGGGACAAAGCATTGCGAACTTGTCTGTCATCCTTGCTGCCAAAGAATGCCACCAACACAAGAACTCAACTGGCTCAGACTCAGAAGGTGTTCTGTGAATCCCTCACCAGCATGCACAGGCAGGCTTCGGGACAAAGCATTGCGAAACAAATGTGTCTTCCTCGCCAACACCAGCCAAATCAATCGGTCGAACCACAACAAGCTATGCCGATAGCTCAGAACCTCAGAAGGTTCAATCCCTCACCAGCTGCAGTATGCTTCGGGACAAAGCATTGCGAAGTTGTCTGTCATCCTTGCTGCCAAAGAATGCAACCAACACAAGAACTCAACTGGCTCAGACTCAGAAGGTGTTCTGTGAATCCCTCACCAGCATGCACAGGCAGACTTCGGGACAAAGCATTGCGAAACAGATGTGTCTTCCTCGCCAACACCAGCCAAATCAAGCGGTCGAACCAAAACAGGCTATGCCAATAGCTCAGAACCTCAGAAGGTTCAATCCCTCACCAGCTGCAGTATGCTTCGGGACAAAGCATTGCGAACTTGTCTGTCATCCTTGCTGCCAAAGAATGCAACCAACACAAGAACTCAACTGGCTCAGACTCAGAAGGTGTTCTGTGAATCCCTCACCAGCATGCACAGGCAGACTTCGGGACAAAGCATTGCGAAACAGATGTGTCTTCCTCGCCAACACCAGCCAAATCAAGCGGTCGAACCAAAACAGGCTATGCCAAGAGCTCAGAACCTCAGAAGGTTTACTCCCTCACCAGCTGCAGTATGCTTCGCGACAAAGCATTGCGAAGTTAGTTTGTCACCCTTGCTGCATCTTGCGAGAAATGCAAAAGTGTAATGACCTGCAAAGGTTGACCGAACTGACTTGCTCTTCCTGTCCGGGGACCGGCTTCCCTGAAACCCGGTCCTCAGGCTTCGTAGACAAAGCGTGCCTGGAAAATGCACGTCGAAGCTGAAACCGCCAGTCCAAAAAACCTTTTCCTAATGATAACCTATGCGACCAGCATGCGAGTTCACAAGAGCAAACACATCATGGTGAGACCACACATGTCACTCATGCTTGCCTCGAAAAGGATAGAAGACAGCTAACGGAGTCAAACCATTCACCTGGCCATGGTTCGGGCCAGGCACAGGAGCCGTGATGGATCATCCGAGCATACGTCTATTGCCATGCCTCGCATTTGGTGCATCAATCCGGTCCCTTCCTTGGCAAGGTCAGGCGCTCCAAAATTGAGATCAAAGCAAAGCTAAAGGCAGCCAAGATACCCAGAAGCGCCCAAGAGCTTGTCTGGTACGAAAACTAATAAGGGTGGTAAGCGTCACCGTCATGGCGCTCCACACCTTTCCGAAGCTCGTTGCAGGCCAATTCAAAACCCTTCTTCGACCAGGCCTGGCTCTTGCTCAGGTCGCCCTGGGAGATATGACTTCGCAGGCACTCAGCTCTCGCCAGAAATTCCCTGAGGGCTTCACCGTAGTGTTTATCGAGGTGAACTCGTCTTCGGCATTCTGCTGAAAGACGATCAACAGAATCGCTAGGATGACAGAAGGCAGCGAAAAAAGTACTGCCTCAGCATAGAGCGTTTGTGCAAAGGAAAGAATCAGAACACAAGGAACTACGCAAAGATGCTGCTAACATACAGAGACATTTGGGTATAGTAAGATCCTCCAATGCTGTTCTAGGCTGTACAGGACCTGCTTCTCTGGCCAAGGATATAGCCTGCCCTCACTAAGTGCAGCGGCTTGGGTGGGAGAGAGATAAGTGATAAACTGTATGTCACAATCAAGCTCGATCGGTACACACCAACACACTCACAAATATCGTAGATTATTGATTCTGGTTCCGGACCGATGAGATTTCACCGAGGTGCCTTCATCGACAAGATGTTCCCAACTTACTATGCGTGAGGGGACCCTTTTTTTGTGTGGCTAGCCTCGCGACGTGCAGCAGGACACCAACCGGTAGACCAGACCCAAATGTCCACGTGTCTGACAGTAGCATACACTTCTCAACCCAACGGGTGTGGAACGGACGCCCGAGCCCTTAACAGATCTTGCACTCCGAAGCCGAGGCAGAGCGAGTGTACCAGCCAAGGGCGGAGGTGCTTCGGAGGAAAAGTCGCACTGCCGAATTTGAGAAAGTCTATCCAGACCGAGCTAGCATCGGCTGGACGCAGGAAACACTCTCCTGAAAGCATTGGTCTTTGAAAGCTAGCTTTTTCGCACGCCGAAGGAAGACGATACGGACACTTTCTGTTTCCAGAGTAGGTAACTGATGTTATCCCAACGAATAAGGCCGCAGTCAGACACCCCTAGTCGTTCACCCAATGCCGCTCAGGGAAGGAAGCAGGCTTGCAAGCGTTGACTGCGTGGACAGAATCTGGAGCCGAGATTCTGCAGGAATGACAGAGCCCTTCAGCTTGAAGAGCAGGTGTACTCCTTCCTTGGACAAAAATGTTCACATGATGATGTAGAAAAAGTCCGACAGGCAAGCCGCCCACTAACAACTGGACATCACCCTTCAACTGGAGCTTCCAGTGTAAATGAGAAAAGACTGAGCCAAATCACTGCAGCTTGGAGCCTTAACGAGCCATCGTGCCGAGACTCCGTGTATCGGATCATTCTGGAACCGCAGCGTCCATGCGACCGGTTCCGTATTACTGGCTACGAGCTGCTGTCTTCACGAAAGTACGCTGGTGATGCGTACGCTTCATGCCCCATGATGGAGCGCTGCTTGTGCGCGACCCTTATGAATGTCATCACCTTTCTTTTCAAATCAACATCTTCACTTTGCTTTTCCCAATTGTTGCGAGCCAGACCACGAAGAATCCAACCCATCTACACAGCTCCAACGCAACAAATGCAACAAAATGGCAGTGCATACCTGGCACCGTGACGGCAGGAGCAGCACAAAATCCTGTCCGATTTGGCCCCGCTCAAGCCCTGAAAACCCACGACACCTCTCGCAACCTCTGGCCCGTAGCCAGGACAAGCTCGCTGGCATGCGCCAGAACCTCAATTCGTGAGAGGTAAACCGGTAAACACATATCTGTCTCAAACACTCCTCGCGGAAACAAACGGACTGATGATGCAAGGCCACCTCCACCGCGTCCTCGTTCACCGGTGCCTGACCCACGAAGCAGAGTGCTAATGCACAATTATCGGCACGTGTACAGAAAGACTTGCAAAATGCTCCTCATCATTGTAGTGAAAACCTTTTTCTACCATCAATACCTCTTGCGAGTGCGAGCTGCATGCTTCTGTGTTCGACCCACACATTGAGCATAACCAAAGACTGATGCAACGTCGGATACAGATTGTCAAGTTAATCCACAAGCCTAGGAGGAGGTCGTTGAGAGGAACAGGGCTATACAAAGGAGACCACACAGCACCGCGAGCTGTAGCTGTGGTTCTCGGCCTGTCAAAGCTGTCGAAGGCATATCGGTGCGGAGCGAATGGCACGAGCGACAGCTGTGCAGTGCTACGTTCCTCGTCCCAACCGTTTGGCTCCACCAAATTGCCAGACCAAACCCTGCAAAATCTCCGCTTCGCGGCAGCTCGGCCACAGGCAAAGGGGTCGAGCTACCTCAACTTCCTCACCCCCGCAGACATAACTCGGTGCAGTTCCAGGCGCACCTCTGAAGCTGAACGTCCAAGGTCAAGAATGTCTTGCAGGGCCTTTCCCGGCGTTACATGCAAGTAACTCAGTGACCACACGTCTCTACTGTTAACTACACACCTTGGCATGGGTCAATTGGGACATGCTCTTTGGCTGATGCAAGGCAGCTGCACTCAGCCCTATAGCAATGGCACATGACAATCTGGATCGCCTGCCCTTTACCAGCGCCTTTTGCCGACCGGGCCAGCTTGCACCTGGCAGCTGCTTTCTGGAGCAACTCGCGCGTGTGAGCTACTTGTAGCAGTAGCTTCCTGTGGGAATTACAACCAGGTGGCTCTGTGCCAGCATATTCACAGAACGCAAGAGACTTTAGCCGGAAAGCCTGGCAACCATCCTGTCACTTCAGCGGTCCCCCGCTAATGCACGATGTGCGGGAAAGCTCCAGTTCAAGCCCCACAAAGCTGCATCCTCCGAAAATCTGCCCAGCGCGAAGGGAAAATGCGATGCCGGGCAGAAAGCTTGACGGGCTCATGATGCCCGTGCGGCTGTCAAGCTATTGGCAGGTCTGTTGACCTTGCTATACACGCGGCTGACAGTGTCTAGCGGGGGAAGATAGCTGTTGTTGCCCCCCGCCTGCAACAGGGGCCTTGCCACCTGTCAGTGCTAGGGGGTCATGCAGTGAAACGACTCCTCTTGGAACAGAGCTGGCATCAAGATCACGATGACAATATGAGATGCAACGTACCTGGCCCTCCGTTTATCGCAGTGCAAGTACCATCGTATAGACCCGATTCAACTCCACCCTCGTGAGGCACAGAGGCAGAAGACACAGGTCCGACACCCGCACAAAGCCGTGTTCCAGGTGTCTTGACGTCGTTGGGCAAGATCCCATGTTCCGACTTCATCAAGCGCGGGAGAGACGCGCATCTTCGCCAAGCTAAGACTATGTACGGTGGGATGCTTGACAAAAACAGTCAGAAGTCACGAGCATGGATCGTTCACTGCCACTGAAAGCTTACGCGAAACGTGTGCCCTTCAGCCATAAGGCTGGGCATAGGCTAATTTACGATTAAACCATTGCAGAAGGAATGACCACATTGGGCTCTGAAATTGCCCCTACCAGCCTAGCAATAAGGAAGCCGCAAGGAAGCTGTAGATGAAGAAACCAAAACCAAGCATTTCAGGACCCAATGCTGAATCCGAGGGAGAACTTGTTGGCACCTTCAACCTCTCCGAACGCCGCCTTGCAAGACGGATTATGACTATCGGCTTCATGTCATACTCGCACCACCATGCACCGTGTGCACGGTGTTCTGCTAAGCTCTAGCAGCCTATGATCTAGACTCTCGAGTCTGAATCTGAAGGCAGTGTTCGGCGCCAGGGCCATGCAGCTCAAAGTGCGGACGCCGGCTGAATCCCACAGGTTGCTCAAATCAGACAGCAGCGCTCACGGGATTCTTCGCCAGGGCAGGCGGCTTAGGTTTAAATACTACGCCACCACACGTGCTCCCAAACTCTTCCAAGCTTGCTACATACGACGCGACGGCAGGCCGCAGGATGGAGCATGCTCCACACAGTCAGCGGCAGCAAGCCTCCTCCTGGCAGGGACGGAAGACACTTCGACCTGTCAGACTCCCGAAGCCGCTGATCGATGTGCCCTGCCATGCCGTTCCGGCAGCCTCCATCACCTGGTCGATGTTCTTTTCCTAAGCCAGGACCAGGCCAATATTAAGCACAATCGTGGCAACCGTCATGGCGATTCCCGAATTCCTACAGGCGGCGCATGAATCAGACAGCACTCCTGACAAAAGATGTCGCCAAGACACGTATTCATCGATGGCCTGTGGCCAGTAGAAATCGCCTTGCTAATAGAAGCAGGAACGACATGCAGGCATACTGTACTGCAAGCAGAGCGTCTTTCTCAAACAGCCACTGCCAGAAAGACATCCAAGGTGCTGTTGATGGCATTGGTCTGCATCTGTCGCCACAGCGGTCTTTGATGCCGGAAGATGTCCATCGCCTCCGACAGAGTCAGCTCACGCTAAAATTTGGATTGTTGCTCCGTTGACCAGGCTCAGGGATTGTCAAGAGTGCTTGCGATGACGATGAAAGAGCCCCTGTACAAATTGCTAAAAATGCTGCGAAACTCTGCGCACTAAGGTGTAACTTGGTCGCCAAGAACGCTCCCCCCCACGCAATCGTATGACCAGTTTGCAATACCTACACTGCCAACCCTTCGCGGGCCCACGAAAGTCCAACTCAGGCCAGGCCATACAGACATGAAGGTCACGCTTTTGCGTCTTTATTGGCAGGAGAACAAAAATGAATGCTCCTGCCACTTGCAAGCTGATATGAGCCAACAGTGACACTTAGACTTGGCCCTTTGGTAAAAGGTTGCTGCGGACGCACACGCGGTAGTTCGGCTTCCGCCGCCTCCTCGGGAGATTGCGTGCAAAATCTGTGCGTGTTTGAGCGTGAGACAAGAAACGAGATGGGTTATTGGGCAAATTGGGTATTGACAAGCTCCCCCAGTCGATTGTGGTGGTATGGAAACTGTTGCCCGACTCGCATCCCGTCATCGCCGGCAAGGCAAAGAACAAATCATTCTATAACAAGTGAGAGTTGAGCGAGGAGGTTTCGAACAGCTAGTTGAAGGAGTAAAGGGGAGTCAGGCCCAATTGTCATATGTTTTGACAAAAGTGTTCTAGCAGTGATACCGCTCTCAGCTCGACCCATTGCATCTGAGGCGCACCGCGCTTTGCTCCTGACTAGTCAACTGTTTTGACACCTCCCGTGGCCATGCCCAGACGTTGTTTCATCTCCCTTCGCCTTTGTACGCCGAGAACAACGCCATACCCCTCCGGGAAACTGCTCCCAGTTCACGCAGCTCCCGACCACACCAGGAGTTGGGGGTGGGAGGGGACGAAAATTTCATGCAGTATCGGGGTCTCACAAGCACGCCTGCTTGATGTGTTCCAACACACCTTCTCACGTGCGAATGGCAGCAAGCCAAATCTGACATGTGTAGCGATGTCAACTGACCTTTCTTGAAGCTATATGTATGAGAAAGGGTCGCTGCTGGCAAGGAGGGCGAGGAATGGCAGGGAGAAAGTCCAAGCCAGATTCACCGGTCGGGAGCTCGCCAGCTACATGCGCGCCTGATAAAGTCGCTCTTTGAGGCGATTCACATCGAAGCCACCGAAAAGGAAGCCGGTGGCCTATGATTCTGTGTCGACTGCAATGCAAGAAGAAGCTATCCGATAACCTTAATTTCTTTGGCCCTATGGGTACTTGACATTGTAGCCAGCTTCTATCTGACCGTGTGCTGCCACATGCAGTCTCCCAGGACACCAACGCAGTGTCTGTCGTGCTCCGCGTTCCACAGGCCACGGACGGAGTCCTGAAATCCCGTGCAGTTTGCCCAATTGTTCATGGCAGCCTGCGATGTGCGACCGTCCTTCAGACCTCCAGTCTCGTGTACAACGGGGATCGTTGCATACCTGAGACACATCTATCAACAGCCAGTGCTTTCAGAGGGTCACTTCTTGTTGAGCAAAGATGCTGCTGTGCATACATCTGCGGGAGGCCGCATGGCTCGTACCTGGCAAGCTTCTGACAACGAAGTCCGACTGGGAAGTGATGCAATGCAATCAATATATGACATGTTATGACGCATAACAAGTAAATGGCCCTGTGCTCGAACATGTCATGTAGCAAAACAATTCGCAGATGCAAACACACCAGCTGGCATCGTTCGATGCGGCACTGGGAAGGCATCAATAAGATGTCGCATCCGGCCATCATGCGGTGTTCCACAACGGGGTCAAAACCAACCTGGATTGGCAGAAAATATGGCTTCAAGGGCAGCAAAATCCTGACGTGATGGGGGTCACTACATGGCGAGAGGCTCTGCACTCATTGGGTACAACTTTCGCTTTAATGAGCCTCGAGATTCAGAGCACTTACGATTTCTAGCGGCAACATGAACCAATCCTTTGCCTTTGTGGCTTGATTCGATTCTCTTGCTCGCTTGATCCCGTGTTCCTGGAAATAGCCGATAAGCTTCTAAAGAGCGTGTAACGAGTAGGAAAAGGGACGACGCTTGTGAAGCCTCTGCACAGAAAATCACGCAATTGCAAAGCTGAGCTCAAAGTCTTCGTTACAGAACTCAATCGGCCAAGCCCTGGGCAAATGCGCAAACGCGTCCACGATGTGAAGCCTGCATGACGAACACCATGCTAGGCTTGGAATACTGCTACTGCAGCTCATGGGATTGCAACGTGTGCGGCCAGTGCTCGAGACCAAAAACCACCGCAAACCTCCATGGACCGGAGCTGATCTTCGTATTTGGGATCACCTTTGCCCATCAACCTTCAGAGCAGGCACGCGCCACTCATTTCTTAGCAAGGTGACTTGCCTGGTTCAGCCTCGAGCCAGTGCATATCCTATCTGTACGCTGCAGGTACACGGCTGCCACCACATCTCCAACCGGAAACTTCACGCTACTATCGCCAGGCTAACAACTCGAGTCGCATCCTGCTGTCTACTTGGCATCCCACGCAAGCTGAACGAAGCCGTTGACCCCATTGCCCTGACCAGAAAGGCTGACGGATCGAAGCGCAAGCGAAAGATAGCACCGCAAAGCAGGCAGTATGCTTTCCACCTCGTCACTCATCAGCCACGGAAGGCATTCCTGCAAATGGGGTGCAGACTGCAGAAGCCTAGCATGTAGCGAACCTCTAGTCTCTGGCTTGCTCGCACACACGACGTTCAATTCCGCTCTCCATGATGAGGTGGATCCCCTTCTGGTAGCAAAGGCGACCGCAGAAGCCAATGAGGCACAGCTTGGGATCCTGTGCACAGGATCAGAACTCGCGGGTCGAGCCGGCCATCATGGTGAATCGAGAAATCCGCTGAGACAAAGGAGCACGAGCGAAAACTACGTCGAACACAAAACAGCAAGTCAGCAAAGTCTCCTAGAGGAAGCAACACGCAGCACAATGACAAGGACCGCAAACTCAGATGGAGCTGCAGCGCGACACGTATCATAGAGAACCCAGCAGACGCCGTCCCCGGCAGCTTCTTCAAAGAGCACACGGCAAACATCCTGCACACACATGTCTGTGGCCTGTTGAACACAACCTTTGTCCAGTCAAGCGTGATCAAGTGTGCGAGATTCCAAGACAGACAACCACGACCTACCACGGAGCCTTTATTTCTTTTCCCACACAGGAATCTGCACACGCAGCAGGCTCGAAACAGCAGAAAGAGCGCAACACTTCAAGCTTGAAGAAAACGAAGCTCCAAAGCACAAGATTCTCAGCTTGGCTTTGCTGTACACATATGCAGTCTCGTTGCGGCAATTATCGCTTTGCTTTTGCTATCAAAGCCTACAGGCTTCATACTTCTACAGCACAAACAAAGCCTTGGCTCCAGAATAAAGACTGCATGAGGAACATCGAAAAGCGCACACACGTCCGTTTAGCTTCGTGTGAGTTTTGTCGTTGATGAGTTTGTCGCGCCGGTCCCGGCCTGCTGCAGGCCCAGTTGTCGCTGGAGTTCCGCCTGACGTGGACCAGCCGGTTCCACGTTGCTTGCTTTGCTAGAACTTACTCCTTTGACACTAGCTGCATGTATGCCATGACTCGAAACGACCTTTAGCTGCTAAGCTCTTGCCGACAACACGAGGTTGCAATCACGAGGTTGGTTCGGTGCTGCACGCGTGCCATGAGTGCCTTGCAGCGGAGCTTGCCGTCTTCGAAATTGCTGACACCATATCCTGAGTTTGAGTGCTTTCAACCCGGGCCTGGCCTCACCTTCTCTCGCCTTACGACCCGTCACGGCCCTTTCGTGCCCAGTTCGCGGACATTTTGCTTCAATGCGAAGGCTGCAACATGCAAATCTGTAAAAATCGCTCTCTTGCAGCCACCAGCTCCCACCTACCATTCACATTTGCAGCCATAAAAAAAGAAACTACTCAGGTCCGGACGGACTGCTATGTGGGGATCTGTCATGGGATTCCACCTGAAGGAATGGATCACCACAACGGCATGCTGAGAATCCAAGCACAAAGCAGCTGAGCCCTCGGCTCGTCGGAGATGCCGTTCAGAATCCCCTTGACCTTGCTCGCCCCAAGAATCTCCGCCACCAAGGATTCAACACGAGCTGCATTCTGTGTGCCCGGCTCTGCGCATAGAGGCCTTGGCTTTGAGCGCCGAGTGAAGTCCCAGCCCGCCTGCAAGGACCGGCAATGCGGCCGACGGCCGACTGGGCTGCACTGCATCCCTTTTCGGATCCGCTTGTTGAGCAGTGACGTGGTGAAACGGACCTGTGAAAACCCTCAAGCCTTGGAGCCTCCGTGTTCGCACGCATCGTCCTCCATCAACTTCCTGCAACCCTCAGTCTTCAGCGCAGGTGCCCTCTGCAGGATACGCACCCATATGTATGTCATCAGCTGAAAACAAACCAGTGACGCAAGCAAGGCTAGCCAACTTGCGAGAAGTGTGTGATACAGCCAACTTGTAATGAATGCCTCGAAAAGTATGAAGACCAGCATCACTGATGCCAATAGACATTCCAGACAAAACCAGAGTTGTGTATCGGAGCCTGCATTCGACTCCTGTCTCTGGAATGTCATTGCCAAGGACATCTGAATCTGTGCCACCATGCTGCTCAGAAGAAAAATGTGGTCAGAGAAATAATAATTGTATGGATGTACGCAGATGAATATGACAATTCGCAGTCCCGTCAGGGACAGCCACCACATGAGTGCGAAAAGGAGCCACGAACCACGTCCGCACCATGTACACAGGTCTGCATCTGTTTGGTTCACTGTTCCAGTGCAGATCTGGATGACAAGGAGAAGGTACGGAAGCATCGGTCCTTCGCCGGAGATCACACCGTTCACCTGATCTGCTATCCGTGGCAACCACCATGTCTGCTCCACAGTGGCATGCCCAATAGGTCGTTGACAGGTAAATTCACTGTGATTTCGGCGTCCTCCTTGCATACATTGCATGGACGAACCACCAAGAAACCCGAGGTACGGAAACACCGTGGCAACCAACAAAGCGGCAACCAACAAAAGAAGCGGCAGCGGAGGGTGTAGGCACCAAGTGCATGTCGATCTGTAAGCCATGAGGCGAAGCAGGAATTCGAAGGCAGGCGGGAGCTTAAGCAAGCTGATACCTCTTCGCACGTGTTACAAACGTCCCCAGAGGTTCGAGCCCCTAAACCCTCCACTCTCTGCTCTGTCACAAGAAAGTAGTCTAGAGTCCTAGAGTTCAGGACTTTGTCGTTGTCGGAGATGCAGAGGGGCTGCGGCAGGGTTGTCAATGAGAGAGTGAGGGAGAGAAAGAGAGAGAGCGAGCGGGAGAGAGAGAGAGAGAGAGAGAGTGAGTCAGAAAGAGGCCGAGTATAGATATGCAGCAGGCAGGAAGTCAGAGAGCGCGAACTAACTCACCAAACTGCTGACGATGAAGCGACAAGCCTTGGCTCGGAAAAGGAAGGCCAGCAGCAAACTATGACTGGACGGTCTTATCCGCCGAGGCCACAGGCCCAGGCGTCTTGGGGGTTAGCTCAGGTTCCCTCCACCTAATCCTCCTCCCTGCGGTCCAAATGTTTGGGGACACCCGCTTTCCCCCCCCCTCTCCCCCCCGCTTCCCCCCCTCCCCCCTGCCCCCCCCCCTCCCTCCCCCTGTGCCGATACACCCACAAGGAATACTCCTTGTTAGGAGGTGTATGACCAGTTATTCCCTAAGGATCAAAGGGCAGCGCCCTGCACACGGACAGTAGTTGTTTTTGTCTTGCTACGCAAGGAGAGCTTGTCTTGTCTCAATATGGTAAAACCACTGTGAGCCAATGGGCAGCGGAATGTATATGTATGAGCATGCAGCCATTGCTGTAGGTACCTGTTAGGGCTACCCCTTTAGAGGTTTATGGTTTCAAACAGACACTAATTTTCTTTTACCGGAAGCATGGCCGCACATTCACACATATACTATTATGCCCACTGTCACAGTTGCGGAGTCTGGACTCATGATGAAAACAGCATATTATTGAAGCTAGGTATAGCACTGAAGTACACTGCTGAGGACACTCCTTTTGCACACACTCATGCATGTTGGTCAGAGAGATCGTCTGTACAAGATCATGTCTGGTGATATTTTCTACATCGAATTATGCAGCCCTTCACTTTGCTCTTGTTAGAGATTTGTGAGTCACTGTTGTGAAACTCCGAGATTTTCCTTATCTCAGATTTGGATCCAGGTTTGGATCATAGGCTCGAGCGTAGACGTTCGGATGTGGCTCATCCGGGTCTGAGTGATCTTCTTCGGAACTTGAATAAATTCCGAGTAGTCTGTTCTCAGCCCTGGTGAAGGCGGCGTCTGCAGTATCATATCCATGGTTGGATGTTGTCGCCCTTGGCTCGGCCTTTGGCGCAGCTTGTGAGCTGACTGGAGTTGCCTTGGCTTTAGCCGGTTGTGGCTGCTTAGCCTTTGCCCGTTCAGCCCTTCTTCTTTCAAGCTGTCCGTCTGAGGACGCCCATGATCTTTCACTTTCATCTCCTGAAGGAGATAAGGCGTGGGCATAAAGGCTATTCCAGTACTGTGCTCCAGAAGGAGTTAGGACTTCTTCATTGTCAGATTCTGACTGGTCTTCCTCAGAGCTTTGGTCGTCAAAGAGTGTCTCGAGGACATTTTTGAGATTGTTATTTCTTCGCTCTATCTCTAGTGAGGAATGGACCAATTGGTTAAAGACTGTCCTTGAGTCCTTCAGTGCTGTTAGAAGGATTTCCACTCTGGATAGAGTATCTTGGATGGTGTCAAGATGTTCCTTCCTTTCCTCCTTGTCTCTCTGGATAGAGCTTCGCAATGATTGTGCGATTCTGAGGAGGTCTGTGTATTTCGTAAGAGGCATAGTTACCGTTTGATTGTCATGTATGACAGTTGTTTCGTCGCCGCTTAAGTTCCTGAATAGGACTTCCACGACTGGTAGAAACTCCGTGCTCCACGGTTCCTCTTCATCATATGTTTCTACGTGCTGTAGCACGCGTTGTGTAAACTGATCGGCTGCTTCTACCGTTGCATCGATAGAGCTGACGTGTCTTGCTGCCATGTTTCTGCACGTAATGTTAATTGCCTGGCCTTGATTGGCTTCGTTAAGTGCAGCGTCTGCATAGGTGCAGAGTCCACTGTTGTGGGCTTCTCTGGCTGCCTTTCGTTGAATGCGCCGATTTTGACCTCCTCGTCTGGTAGGACCTTTTGGTCTCGGAGGATCTGAAGGTACTGTTCCTTTCGCCTTTGGCGGAGGACTCTTAGGTGGAGGTGACATGTTTGCCTTGTTAGGCACTGGTGGCATTGCCTTGGGCGCTGACGACGATGCGGCACTTGAGAGTGCAGATGTACCTTTGGCTTTTGCCGAGGATCCCTTGGGGATCGATGTATAGGTAATCTGCATGGCTTCTTCGGCCATTTGTGCATGCAATGCATCTTTGAATAATTGCGTCATATGAGGAGTGGTACTTGCATCATCGTAGGTCTGGAAGCGCTCAATGTCTCTTTCGGTGCCACGTGGACGTGTATCACCTCTTTGAAAAGGATCGTTCCTGCGAATCTCCGCAACTTGTACTGCATGGAGGCAGTTTTTGCACAGCACCTTCCTGCAAACATCTCTTGCTTGCTTGAGCTGGTAACAGCTGTCTGAGAGATGGTAGACTTCGCTTCGGGAAGTATGCCAGATAGGTCGCAGATCAGTTGTTTCTCCGGAATTGACCCTGTTGGGTCCTAAAGGTTCACGCGTCTGCGGTTCATCCTCGGGTTCGAGGAATGGAACTCTTTGGTTCGCTGCTGCTTTTGATTTTGGTTGTTGGCGCTCCATACATCTGATAGGAGGCCTGGTAATCTGCTTCCACATCCAGTGTAAGCCCATTAGCAGCAGAAACACATTCCACGCGATGCTGAAGACGGAGAAGTCCTGCTCACTGGTTAGTGAGTTTGGAAGTGAAGTTTCATCAGTCTTGATAGACTCTGCGTTCGCTCCACCTTGGTTGCGGTGTCCGAACCAGCCCGACAACCCCGCTGCTGTAGCAGCTGTTCTGAGTGCCTTGCCGCTCGGAGCAGACGGTGGACGCGATGCCTTCCTTCTTCTCCTCCGGCTGGAGGATTCGTCCTCTTGTTCCTCTTCATCTCTCTGAGCAGACATCAAGTTTGATGTTTCTCTTTCGTGTTCTTCGATGTCACTTTTTGTTGGTGACGGTTCTTCTTCTAGTCCATCCAGCTCTTCCAAAGACATGTTGAGCTTGTCAACAATATTGGTTCTTTGAGGCCTGGACCTTGATCTTGGTAGATCTTGTTGTGAAGAGGACGATGATTCCTGGTTCCTTCTTGGAGGAGGACCTTCAGGCTCGCTGGGACGTTCAGGCTGTGGCCATTCCCAGAATCTTCCGTATCTGTGATGGCTACCTGATGGTTGCGATCTGTCGTACCAGCTGTTGCCGGATGAGTAAACGAATGAATCTTTGTAACCCCAGTATTCAGCATTACGCTGCTTGAAAGCCTTTCGCTTGTCAGCGATCTTCTGAACCTGGGCATCTGACCGGTTGTGTTTCCCTTTTGTAAGGATTGGTTGTATCGTGAAGCCCAAAGGGCTGTGCCAATCTTTGTCAGAGGGACTCAACCATAGGTCAAGGTTAGAAAAAGTTGAATAGTACTGCTTGACTGAGACAAACAGACGGATATCAATATCCCTGTTATTGTTCATGTCCTGCCACATATCTGAGATTCGCTCCCAGTATGTTCTTTCGGCGGCAGGTGTAACATCTCTTGGACTAGGTGACGCCGTGTGCGGCGTTTTACTCCAGTCAAGGATATAACTGTTGATACAGTCAAGGTCAGCAACTTTCTTCGCCGGGTCCGCCGGTAGACGATCTGCACGTGCCAGTCTGTGCTGGTCGGAGTTGTTCAAGCAAAGATGTCGCACTTGTGAGTGCCTTCCTGCTATTTTGTTGAATGCTGCAAGTTTCTTCTCCAGGTATAGAGAAAACAAACTGTTTCGCGGGTGAACGTCTCCACCTTTTAAGGTGAGCCTCGACGCAATATTATTGAGATCTCCCGCTATTACATCCGGTTTAAACGGGAGAATCTCGTTGAGGAACGCGTTCACCAGTTCGCGTCTCTGTTCTTCCTTATGAGTCATGTATGAGTTGAAATGGACGATCGCGATGGTGATGACCTTGTAAGGCCCTTTTGTACACCACATCTCGTCAAGATCGTTTGATGCTTCTTGTGAGAAGATCTCTGCGTATGACTCAAAGTCTTCCTCGGGTGGCTCATCACCCTCGACATGGCCGTTCCATTCACAGAGAACCGGCGAGGGGTCGAGGTTCGACAGTGTCAGGCACGCCTCTGGTGAGAGGTAAGAGCCATCAGTGGGTCCATCCTTGTCAGGATTTTTGCCCTTGAGTGGGTCATATCCGATAATCTGCATGACCTCGTCTCTCGTCATCCTTTGGCCAGAATATGGGTGGACCCATTCTTTTGCCTCTGGTATGGTACTGTGGTACCCAAAGGTGAGGCGGCATACCGCACCGTGGCATGCCCACAGTCGCTTCTTGGGACCACCATTCTTAGGCTTCATTGTTCGATGACGGTAAAAGTGGTGGACGAGAGCGATGTCTGTTGTTGGGTCACCCTTGACTCCAATATACATCGAGGGTGCCTCAGGCTCCTTGGGAGGAGAATGGATTAGCATCCCCCTGTATTCATGTTGTCGCATGGTTGCGATCGAATACTCTGACGCAAGTGCTCCTGCCTCGAGTACGAGGGTAATATGAGCTGAATTGTTGAAGCACATGTCAATAAGAGGGTGATAATCGAATCCCTTCTCAGGTTTGAGCTTCTTTTTGGGATTCCCTGCGGGCACCGGCGCTCGATCCATATTTCCCCAGTTGAATACCACTAGGTTTAGCGATACGCTGTCTGGGTTAGAGCCTTCAATGTATTCTCTCTTCTCATTGACACCGGCCATCCTATTGCGAACTATCTCGTAATGTGCGTCGAGCACCAGTTTGTCTTCGTGGCCAGTAAGAGTGAGAAAAGAAGCCGGGTGGCTTGTTCTAGAGTCCTTGATGTTGATGTG